CTCGCCTAGTAGATAACCCATTTTCCACTCAGCGTACAAACTGAATAGACCAGGTGATGTGTGGACTTAATGATGGAACAGTACCGCAGTTCGTACAGGCTTCAATAACGGCAAAAATACCCTGTCAAATCAAATCAAATCAAAACATTTATTTCCATTTTGTACAATGGTTATTCAACATTAATAGTAACTTATAAGTAGACATGTAATTAAACTAATAAATAAGAGGGTTAGACATATAGTTAAATTAAATGTAGCTTTCATAGAAAATAATAATGTAGTAATAAAAATGTTAACAATAATGTTAATAATAAAGTAGTAAGTATGCCACTAGATACAGGATCGTTATTATCGGCATCATTTCCATATTTGTTTCCTTACAATGAGAATAATTAGTTCTTAATGAGCAGCAACTATTTGTCCAAAAGAAAACTATATAGTTTGCCTTTGAAAGCTGTGAAGGAGGATGCATTTTTAAGATGCTCTGGAATATTATTCCAGAGTGTTGGCCCTTTGATAGTGATCATCTTTGAACCTGCTTCTATGTTTGTTCTGTGAATAAAGAGCTCACTGCTCTGTCTTGTGTTGGTTCCCCTTATATCCCTGACTGTTTTTAAATCAAATAGCCAGCTAGGATAATGATGGTCCAAAATTTTGAATACAAAAACATAAATAGCATAAGCGACCTTATTTTCTGCCCGCAGCCACCCAAGTTTATTGAGAGCTGGTGTGATGTGGTCATATTTTCTTATTCCTCCCAGGGCAACTCGAGCTGCAAAATTAATAAGCTTCTGTATTCTGTTTATCTGAGTCTTAGTGGTAGCTCCCCAAATAGTTGTGCAGTAATTAATGTGACTTAGGGCTAGAGATTCAACAACAGTTATTCGAGTGGTAGTCTCAAAATTGTCTTTTATACGTGATAAGTACATTAATGTTCCTGTAACCTTTTTGCATAATTTATCTATGTGGGAATCAAACAACATGTGGTTATCAAAGTGAATTCCTAGGTTTTTGACTGTTTTGCTAGGTGTGATAATATTGTCGCAAAAATTAATTGTTGTGTTTTCTGGAATTTGTGCTATGTGGAACCTAGTGTTTTACTTTCGTTAATTAACAGCCCAATTTCTTGGAAATAGATTTTAATTTTTGACAAAGTGTTTTCTGCTCTTAAAGTTAGCTCTGGGAGATTATTAATATCACCATTAAGGAGTAGTTGAGTGTCATCTGCATATTGTACGACTAGACAGTCAGAAATGAAAGAAGATAGATCATTTACGAAAATGGAGAAGAGGATAGGACCAAGTACTGATCCTGTGGAACACCAAATGATACATTTTTTGGCACAGAGATAATGTTGTTAAGACGTATGGACTGTTTACGATTAGATAGATACTCGCTAAACCAGCTTGGATCAATATTTAAGTTAATACATTTACTTAAAAGAATTTCATGGTTTACACTGTCGAAGGCTTTTGATAAGTCTAATAAAATTAGCAAAGATATTTTTTTCATATCTATATTATTATATATACTATTCGTAACTTTAAGCAGTGCAGTTTCCGTCGAGAGTTTTGGTCTGAAACCATGTTGGCTAATCGTTAGTAGTCTATTTGATTCTAAATATGACATAAGTTGGCATGCAACAATTTTTTCTGATATTTTAGAGAAAATGGGTAGCAGGGAAATGAGACGATAGTTTGTCACATCTTCTCTGTCCCCCTTTTTATGCAGAGGTATTACATGTGATATTTTCCAAGAGTCAGGAAACTTTTTAGTAACAATGGAAGTGTTCATAATAGTTAGAATATAGGATGCAATCATGGGTAGAGCATCTTTGATGAACTGAAATGGTATACCATCTGAAACATAAGAGCCAGAGTTTCTTAGGCTCTTTATGGTAAGAATTAGGGTAGCACAATCTATAGGATTTATCTTGAAGTACTCTCTTGTGTTTTTTTTTTTTTTTTTTGGAGGAAGTATTCTAACCCCCTCCCTCAAGAGCTCATATGTATGTATATGTGTGTACATGTGTGCATGTATGTGTATATGTATATGTATGTGTATATGTATTTATATGTATATATGTATGTATATGTGTATATGTATATGTATGTGCATGTCTATATGTATCAATAATTACTACTTTTGATTCATAACTCTATCTATATACAAAAGCTGTAGTAATGATGATGGTAATAATAATAATAATAATAATAATAATAATAATAATAATAATAATAATAATAATAATAATAATAGTAATAATAATAATGATAATAATAATAATGATAATAATAATAATGATGATGATAATAATAATCATGATGGTGGTAGCAATGGTTGTGATAATAGTGATAATGGATTAATTGACGTAATTCTCTCTCACGTACATAATTTGAAGGGTGGAGAGGGGGAGAGGCTTTCAGTCTTTCTCTTTCTTTTCCTTCCAAATTTATCCTCCATTATATGGCACTGTGTTTATGTGTATGTATGTATGTAT